TATTAAAAGAAGGTTAATAATTTATAAGGGGAAAAAAAAAGAAGTATAAGCCTAGCCTATATAAGCGCGGAGGCCGCTTATATATAGACTTAGCCTAGACCTTAGTCTAGGCCTATATAAGGTAAAAGCCCTTATATTATACCTTTACTTAGTTTAACGGGTAAGATTATACCCCTATAGATATTAGCCTATTAAAGGGATAAGACCCTTAGTACTCCTTATCTAACTTCCTTCTAAGTATACTTAAAGGCTTTATAAAGACCTTAATTATTTAATTAAGTATCTTCTTTAATTATAGTTAATTTAAATTTTTATTTTTCCCCTTTAAAGTAAAGGCCGCTAGTTATATAACTCTAGTAAAGATAAAGAGGTAGAGAGTAAAGAAATCTCTAAGACTTATATTAATAACCTAAGACCCTTAGAGCTATATATAGGACCGATAATTAGATAATTACGTAGTTAATTACTCTGCTAATCCTTAGCTATATACTACGCGTGCTTTAAGTATATACCCTTATACCTATTAAACTAGCTTTTTAAGAAGCGCGACTTTAAATAATACTTAATACCGCGCTTAAGGGGACGGAACCTTTATATAGACTATATATACTTAGTCGCGGAAAAAACATTAGTAAATAATATATAATACCCTTTTAAGTAAGCTTCTTAAATAAACTATATTATTAATAAGGGCCGCGCCTTAAAAGTTAGGCTTTAGTACTTATAGCTAAGGAGTAGAGGTATATAAAATAGTATATAGCTAGCTTTAGTAAGCTTATAGTATCCTACCCCCCTTATATTAGCATATAATAGTAGCTCTTAGTACTATAACGTAAGGGATAGTACTTTAGTATATAAGGCTTTTCTCCCTCTTATATAAAGCTATATAAGTACTCCCTTTTACTATAGTTATATTATATTAACGGCCTTCTTATATCTTAGCCGCCCTTTTAATTACTATAAGTATACGTCCTATCTATATAGTAGCTACTACTATATATAAGGGAATACTAATAAAGCCTATAAAGGTATTGCTAATATTATTATTATTAAGATTATACTAGTAACCTATTTAAAGGTATCTAGAACTTCGGCGTTAAATAGGAGGGAAAAACTAAAGTGCTTAGAGGAAAACCCTCCCTTCTTTTATAGCTAGTCCGCCCTTATACTAAGTCGCGGTTATAATATATAGGAATCTTACGCCGGCTATCTTAGGTATCGTTATAGTTAGTCGGAATTATATTAGCCTTATTATAAAGTAACCTTAGAAAGTAACTCCTTTATATATATAGGGTATATAGCGTTAATTAGTAGTACGAGCGTTTTTTTTAGTTAATAGTTAATAGTTAATTATATAATTATCTTTAACCTTATCCTATAATAATATCTTCCTAGGCTTTACTTTATTTTTCCGCTATAAGGCTTAGTAGGCTATTTTTTATTAATGCCGGCCTTTCGCTAGGCTAGTAGTCGGGTTATTATACTAGCTTTGCGCCGTACTTATTAAGTTACTAGTATCGGCCCTAGGTTTTTATTTTCCCGGTTAGGGGGCCTAAACTAAGGTTAAGGGGAGGTCCTAATAAATTCGTCGCTAGGTCTAAGTAGGCGAGGTCTAGGCCGGCCTACTTATAGCGGGGCTAGACAACTAGTATATTTATAAGCGCTTCTAGAAGCGCTAATTAGCTAATTAATAAGTAGGTTAGCGTAGTTTACTAGTCCGACTAAAAATTAATCGTGCCCCCGGCTCGATTTAAACCGACTTTAGCGTTATAGCTAGTAAGCTTCCTAGGTATATAACTACTATACTATAAGGGTATATTACTAATATTACTTATTACTTAAGTTACTATTGTTAGACCTAACCTCCTTTCTATCTTAGCGCGTACGCCCTTTTACTACTTAGAGGATATTTACCTACGCCTCCTAGCGCGGGTACTTTAAAAACTAGTAAGATTTACTACTATAGCTTATATAGCGACCCTCCTATTACTACCTCTTCCTATCCTTAGTCCTTAAGGTAGAGATAGAGATATCTATAGTATTATTAGTATTATCTTCTTCTTATACTATAGAAAAAGATAAAAAAAGAAACTTATTATTACTAAGCTCGTAAAGAAAGCGGATAAGATTAGTATATATATTTAATAGTATAGACCTTTTGCTTAAATAGGTATACTAATTTATATTTAAGCTTATAATAAAGTAATTATACCTTACTACGTTAGGCTAGCTATATATATCTACTTAATAAAGTACCTCTTTAAACTATATAAGGTAGGCTAGAATAGCTTTACTTTACTTTTAATAGAGCGTTATAAGCTCTTAGCCTACTAACTTAGCTATATTAAGTTTACTATAATTAATATAGAGCTTTATAAAAAGGTTAGCTAGTCTATTTATACTAATACGCGTAAATAGTAAGAGATACCTTTATAAGTATAAGGATAAGCTCGCGTAAAGATAGTTAAATTAAGCGCGGATATTATATATTATAGTACTATTAGTATAGAGCTTCGCTTTTATATAAAGTAGCTATAGCTTAAGCTTTATAAAGGAGCCGTTAAACTTACTAAGGTATAGTAATACCGCTCTTAGTTATACGGAGCCCTATTATTATAAGAAGCTCTTAATTTCCTAGGTAAACTAAGTATTACGTTTACTTTAATTTTACGACTATAAAAGTATAGATATTATATATATATATATACTAGCGCGGGAAATTTAACTAAACTAAGTAATTAAACGTTAGCTTTAAAGGCAGCTAAAAGTAGCTATTTTATATATAGGGATATAAAGAGGGTAAAATAAAGGGTAGATTATACTATTATAGAGTTAGTAAAGGTATAGGCTTAGGTACGGTCCGTTAAAAGAAGGATAATAATCTATAAAGGGGAAAAGGAAGAGAAGTATAGGCCTAGCCTATATAGGCATAGAGGCCGCTTATATATAGACTTAGCCTAGACCTTAGTCTAGGCCTATATAAGGTAAATGCCCTTATACTTTAAGCTACTAAGGTAGCTAAGGGCCTTAAGGCTAAGGGCCTAGGTAAATACTATATATCTATTTAAAAGACCCCTTACCTAGTCTTTAGCCTAGAAAAGGACCTTATAAGGAGGCCTAAGCTAACCTTTTTAGCCTTTTACTAACTTCCCTTTAAAGCTAGCTTCTTATTTTCCTTCTTAAAAAATACTAATAAGGTAGACTAAGATAACTACTACTACGTTTAAGGAAGGTATATAGCTAGGCACCTTATCTTAAGGTGCCCGAACTATAAAAAGGAAAGAGAGGTCCTTTACTAGGCCTCTAAGGGACGGAGGGAGGCCCTTAGCTTACTTTTTCTCTATAGTTCTAAGGAAAGAATAGAAGCCCTTTTAACCTTCTTAGCTAAAATAAAGATAGGAACGGCTAAGTAGCTTAAAAAGGAGTAACCTAAGGGCTATAGGGCCCTTAGGGGGGGGGGATACTACGTAGGAGGAACTAGATTAACCTTTCCTTTATCTTTACCTTTATAGCTACCCTTTCCCTAATTAGTTATAAGCCTCCGGGCTCTATATCTAGCTAGGACTACTAATAAGGGCCTAGGCCCTTATTAGCCTCGCTATAGCCCTAGAGGCTATATACGAGTAATAATATATATATATATATAAAAGCAAGTTAATAGGAGTCCTAAGGATTACTACGCCCTAGATAGGGCAATATATTTCCTAAATATATCGCGAGTTAATTAATAAACGTCTCGCTCTAATAATACATCGTACTTATAAAGTAACCAAGCGATAAGAAGCATACTAATTCTCACTTCATTATTCAACGGCGACTCCGACGTCCAGTCGCCGCGTGGCTGGCCCCTGGAGGTTTCCTGCCCACGCTGGACCAGGCAGCAGTCTAGAAGCCTTGAAGCCCAGCCAGACGTCGACGTCCGCGGTACGCCACTAGGGATCGTTACTCTGGTCCGACAACAGTGTGATCTTCGGAGCAGATAATGCTGTGGGTGTAATTGTCACAGCCAGAACCTTTCTGGGCGCTGAGTATCCTCACTTGCGGCCGTTTCCCGGCCCAGTCGAGAGACCTTGTAGTGGTTGTCTGTGCCGCAAAACTCTCCGACATTCTTATAGTTGTTATTGTAAATGTGTTGAACCAGCGGTACTTGGCCCAGAAGCTAGGCATACGAGTGATCTGGCCAGCGATAAACATGTCGTCATCTAGGCCGGTACCCACAACCTTTTCGCCGGGGCGCTCGTCAATCACTTTATAGTAACTCTTCGGGGTAGAAGGGGCGTCGTCCATTCAGTCGCCGTCATTATTGCAAATGTACCAGTGAGGAGATATAGTATCATAAACCGGTGTCTAGTTGTAGACGTTATAAGTGTTTTTGTAAAGTAAGCGAATTCCTTTTAGACTAAGAGGCCGTCGTGTAGAGGCTCGTCCGGGTTTTCTTGTTTAGAAGGGTATAAGCTGTGCCCTTCAAATTTAACGCTATTAGGATCAAATACTTAGTATAGTCTAACGGAGGAGAACACACGCCCCGAAGGGACAAGGCTTGCACAAGCGGTAATGGTGTCACGCAACGTTTCTCGCGTGTTAGTGTTTGCTTGTCGGGGGTTTTACTCATTTAAACCACCTGTTCACTAGGGATGAAGGTTCGACACTACTATCTTATCATTTAGCAGATATGCGAGAGTCCCTCAGAGAAAGCTTAAATCGTGAGCCCGTAGGCTTTAGCGACATAGAAAGGATGAAAGGGTAGAGCACATGTCTCCCCGAAAAGGATACTCACATCATCTCATCGTTACTCAACGCACGAAGACCAGGATATTTGCATGCATCGTGTTTTCATCCTCAACTGCCGATGCCCGGCTCCAGTGAAACAAACAATTTTGGCATTTCTTTGGTCAATGCAGATGGCTGAGATATTAACGCCCACTCGTTAGAATAAAACAACCACAAGAGACCAGGGTCTATCTAGTACTATAACAGTAAGAGTGAACCCCTCCGAAACATCAATCTGGAAACTGGTCAATATAAGTGGTGCCGCCGCTTAAGAGGATATCCGCATTAAGCCGAGTGCTGAGGCGGACCATGTCAGTCCCTGCCTGCGTCCGGAAGCCGTCCCCATGGTTTCCAATATCGCTGGCCTCCTTGTTGGGGCCGACGGGTCGGTGGTGGTGGAACAAGGCCGGCTGAAGCGTGACGCAGATGTGGTGTGGGCGGCCTCTGGTCCCTTCGCAGAAGAAGCGGAGGAGGATATCAAAGGCATCAGATGCTTCGCGCAGAGCAATGTGCCGTAGAATCTTGCGGGCGCCGGCGCGACTGACGGCGTAGCCGAGAGAACAGACGCCCTCTTGCACGTGGTGGACGGCGCGGGTGTGTTCGGGGTATTTGTCTTTTAGGGTAAAGGGGATATTTAGGGTCCAGAGATGCTCGCGCTTGGGGACAGTGACATCTTCGCGGTGAATAATGCGGCCTTTTGGCACCAGGCCGTCCTCAAAGGGAAAGTGCATGCCGCAGTGGCCAATCCACAGGACGTCCCAGCCATCGCCGTACGGGGACGTCGTCGGGGGCACCGTCGGCGGAAGCTGCTCATAGTCCAGCTCGAGCGCGGTAGAGGGAGCGCCCTCGGCTCGGCCCGGAAACGTGGCATCGGCGAAGTGGCCGGGAGCAGCCCATAGTGGCTGTACCAAGGCATGGGTTGAGAGAGCAAAGTCGCGGAGCTGACTTCTCAAGCGGATATCCCAGTCGACGTCGTCTTCGAGAACCAGGGCCGACGAAAGGTTCTGGCGGACGATTTGTTGAATGGCATTCATGTGGCCGCGCCATGAGCCCAGGGCGGGCCCGCGGATATGATGTGCGTTCTCGGGTGCCTTGGGAATGGCCTTTTCGGGGATATCAGAGTCTTTGACGCCGTCGATGAAGTCAATGTCGATGTTGCTGAGGGCCGCTTGGAGCACCATCCCATCTCTGCGGTCGGTCCTCGAGGGCAGTCCAACAACAAAGACTTTTTCAAACTAGAGAGACGCAGCATCGTGTTAGCAAAGAAGGTAGAAGGAGTGGCATCAAAAAGGGAACCATGTCGTACCCCAAGAGTGGCGTTGTTGATGTCATCCAAGGCTGAGAGACTTGCGGAAGCCCGACGTCGCGCGTTCGCAACTTCATGAGGGGAGTTGTGGCGGAGAACGAGGATGGTAAGGAAGACGACGACGGCGCCGAATGCAAAGACCAGCCGCTTCGGAACGCCCGCCTGAATCATTGCTGAAAGCCAGCCTCGCCGGACAGCGCCGGGGCCTCGGGGTGTGATTTTCTTCTCCAGAACAAGCAACGAGGCTCAATGTTCCCGACGGCGACGATGACGGATGACGATGGCGTCTGCGCGTGCGACAAAATATGCACGCCAGGAAATGGGAGGGCCGGGCGAGGAGCGGACGAGAAGCAGTTTAAATCGGACTTCAGACGTAGCCGGGGTTTTTTCTTCTACCCGAATATGCAAGTACATGCATAGTATACAGGACCCTGTACTCCGTACGAAGTACTCCATAGCATCTGCCAAAGGGACCTCTACCTCTGCAGCGTGTGGTGCTGAATGCAGGCCTTCTGCTCCTTCGGCGGGGCTTTCTTTACGATATCTGCGTGACGCCCAAGCGGGGGACTCTGTAACAGGCGAGGCGGTTGGGCGGCAAGGCAATTATCTTGGTTGGCGAGACGCAAGCCAGTGGGCCTCAGGACGTCCAGGTTTCGAAACAAAGAAAATGTGCGTGCTGTGATTATGGGGCACGTACAGTACTGTAGATGTAAACGACAGTCAACGGCCATAGTTATAATGTGCGGATTATAACCCGGAAAATGTGCCGCGATCCTACAGAAGACGCCCTCATTTCCTTCATATGTACGGAATGCAGGCTCCCGTAGCCTGCTCGGCGCGCTTTGCATGCTGTTGGTCAGCAATACGAGACCGGAGCGGTACATACGAATTATATACCTGGGTAGTTATATATAGATTTTATAATATGGCTGTGTAACGATGTAAGATGGGAGAGGAGAGACTCCTTTCGGCGCGTAAAAAGCGTGGCTGCGTTGCGTGTACGAAGTATATGAAGCTGTACGATGTCTCGAGGCTCAAGGGGGGCCTCGACATTTACACACTCCTCGAATCCTTCTTCTCCATGCCGCCGGAAAACCCCCATTTTAAGCATTCATGTCCTTTCTTTGGCGTCGGCGCACTGGAGCTCGTCGCAAGCATGCTTGGCCGAGTCATCTTGAGCTTGGCTGCGCTTCCTTTCGTCCTGAGCGACTTCCTCTACCCAGGAGCCGGCCCGAGGCAGTCCTGGCGAATCGGGAGGTGCAAAGAGTTCGTTACCGAACGAATCTCAAGGCTTACACCGTCGCAATTTGGCAACAGGCCCCAGCGGGAGGGAGTGCGAGCTTGGGACCCATCATTTTCCGTGAATATACACCCCCAGTCGAAGAGATGAGGAGCGACGAAGAGGAAACCAAGAGCTGATCAAAGTAACACACCACTTTGCCTCAAGAAACCACGGAGGGCCCTTGCTCAGATCTGGCTCGACTGGCTCGTTCAGTTGTACAGTTGGGATCCAAGGACCTCCAATGTCTTCTTCCTCTGGCTCTTTGAAAGGCGATGCCACGGCTCAAGGCAATTCGTCAGGCCGTGTTCAAATGTCGTCGGCGAACTTCAACGTCACCCAAACCAACGAGCCCACCAAGTCTGAGCCGTCGAGCTCTGCCAGCACCGCATTTGCGACGTCGACCCAAGCACAGAGCCTAGCACCGATGCCGACGAACCCCGGTTCAAGCCAAGCCCCGAAAGACAGCGGCAATAGCGCGACAATAGAAACAATAGCCCGGGAGCATCGGACGAGCTCTCTCCGGGAGCCAAAGCCGGCATCGGCGTTCACGCCGGGGTATTCGGTCTGGTGGCCATGGCAGCAGTGGCATTGTTCCTGAGATGTCGTAGAGAGACGATAGGTGAGTTTCCATAAGATCGAGGAACACTGCTCCGCTTTCCCGCGTATATGTAGCTTAAAGGGGGATCGTCAAAGCAGCGTTTCCTGCATCCTTGAGAAAGAGTCGCGGGCAAGACGAAGCAAAGAACCACTTCAAAATATCTTGATTGAAGTTTCATGTAATGCGCGGACTCCGTATGTTGGTTAGTTGCTGTCGGCAGAGATAGCAGCCGTGGTGCATTACATGGATGGATGATATCGCTCCCCCATGCTCTCAAGGGAGTTATTTTCTTGCGCCTATGACAGGTACAAAACTACCTTGAGGGAAGTATGTTACGCAGAGAGCACGTGTAAATCTAGTCCAAGATGTCCATTCTCAATGTCCTTTCCTTATGGCCACCCACCAAAGTGGTCCTATACTCTCTGTGCGTGCGGTTTCTTCTTCCTGGTCCAGATTACACCAAGCTTGGTCCCGAAGCACTCGACTCACGATAACTCGAGGCCATCGCGCCGTCGCTCACGCCGCTCTCCCACGTCCCCTTAATCGCGCGTAACTTCTTGTTAAACCTTGGCACGCCACCATGTCGGACTAGAGCTCCTCCTGTGCCCTGGGCCGGAAGCCTACGGAGATGAACTGGTCCCTCTGAGTACAAGCTATTCGAGGAAACTCCATCCCAGTCGGTCCGGATGAAGTCAGTTGGAACAGGCCGGAAGAGAATTCCATCGAGAATATATCGATGCTGCGTTACATAAAACTTGGCCACCCTCTTTGTGTCTGTAGTTGCGCAATCTCGTCTTTTGCCTCGATAAACCCCTCGAACAACATATTTCTGCTACCAGTGGCAGGCTGCAGAGCCGAAGCATTGCTAAACGGCAACTATTTCTGGTCTTCGGCCCTGCTTGCCGCTTCTGGCTCCGTCATTATGCCTCCCATTGGCTTGGTGTGCGGCTTCGGGCTCCTTGCGAGCACTGCTCCGACAAGCCCATACTACCCGAGGCGCCTTTCACTGAGTGGCAGTGAATGAACTTCAACTAGAAATTGAAAGAATTAACCGCGGACGGCCAAATTCTGCTCTGTGAGCCACAGGAGAACCTATCGCCATAGACACGTGCACACATATTGTCATGAGCACGGTTGAGGGTCCGTTATCACCGTGAGTTAGGAACATGGCGAATTGATGTTATGCTCGGTAAAGTTACTAACAACTTGGTGGAATCATACCCTCGACAGCCAGCTGCAAGCGCCGAACCGCCACTACGTAATTACAAATTAAGTCCAGATGTTCACCGAATCGGGCCGGAGGATGAGGAGCAGCGAGGCGGGGACCGGGGGGAATCCCGATCTCTCGGCGGAGAGCCGCACATTTAGGAAGATGATGGCCCAGCAAACCATGTCCGTGGCCGTAGCACTCGGCCCGTTACAATCAATATCGCTCTCTAATGCATGCCGTCTACGGAGTATTTAGGCCTGGAAAGTCATACGGCGTGATATTGCGTGAGCGGTTCGTCTATATATTTTTCTTCAATTTCCTCCTTGGAACGACTACGTCGAGAGCCTTTCTCGTCGTCTTTTCTTTAGGCCGCTCACCTGGACTTATACTTCTCCCACCTTGATTTGAGTACAGCAAGAATGCTCCCTACCGTCATGATTTTCGTTTTAGCCACTGGCGCCCTTTGCATCGTCATACCCCGGCAAACCCCCGGATACGTAGACCTGGTCAGGGAGTCCTGAATAAGCCCGGAGCGAAATTTTTTCTACGCCGCGTCGAGCAAACCGTCCGAATGGCGAAACCTCCTTATTTTGATGTCCATCTGGACGAGAACCGCCCAGAGCTGGGACCGGATAAGCCCGAACACTTTAAATATGAGACACTATGGACCAATGATTGCAAAAACGGTGGTGACAAGCATCTCTTCTACCGCCAAATCCTGTTTCCCGAGGATGAAACTGTTGTTAGCCGTTTCACCTATCAAGCTGCTAAGTCATCGATACTCAATTTGGCTCCGCGGCGGCATTAGCCATAACCTAATTCACGGCGAAGACTGAAACTGCTTTGACGGAGTGGAGAATCTAAGATTCGAAAACAACTTCTTCTAAAGAATCAAAAATCGTGTTCATCTGAAAATTCTAGGACAATGTCGTCTGAAAGTGTAAGAACCGCTCAAGCACCACTTTCCGTGAACGGCAAATCTTCCGCCTTGGCGCGGATGCCAGTGGCCACTATACTTATACGATGAACAGCGAACAGAGTGGCACATCAAGCAACTCACAGACTGGCACACTAACGGTCGGAGGGACTACTGGCCGAAGCGATTCAACCAAATTTGTGCAAGACATTACTTTACAGCTGGTAGGTTAGCTATACTATACGTCTTAAGGCAGGTGGACTCTTTGTCAATTGTGGCGGAGGAGGGTGGTCTGTACCTTACCAGACAGACTCTAGAATTAGAGAAGGAGAGGTCAACGAAGTAAAAGATGGGTTGAAGGATATAAGAGGCTTTCAAGTATTAGATTGAGACAGTTTCCTTGGGCTTGGAACCAAGTATTGGACATTTCTAAAATAGGCTTAGCAAGTCTTTCATAGTGCACCCGACTCCAGTCACGGGCGTAAAAGAGCATCATCGACCTCGCAGATATCCCATGCTGCAACAACTCATGCATTATATATACTTATATACTAGGGACAAAATAACGAAGAATAATCGCAACCCGTTGCATAGATTCTCAAAATATCTACAATGAAACCAATGGCCCCCGTTTTTTCCTCTCTGTTTCTTCATGCTTTTGCTCCTTACTATACATGTGGGCAAAAGTCCGGCGGATCACAGCATCTGGCGAATCATTGGAAAATCCTTATTGCATCTGCTTAATCCCTAATTCTCGCAGTACGGGAGCTCCTCAGGCTGTTTGTTGCTGGCAGACACGTCCAGCTTACCGGGGGTGCCGGCCGGAGACACCTGATTCTGCTCCCGTTCGACAGGTGCGACACGAAGGCCCGCGTCGGCAGTAACAGAAGTGATAGAAGAGATAGCGAGAACAGAGACGCCGACGGAGACGCTCAAGCTAGCGTCATCTTGGCCGTTGCTCATGGCAGCGTCGTTGGTGGGGGTGAAGCCTTTGGGCAAGTCCGTAAAGCAGCGGCACTTGTCAATCCTGGGTAGGTCCCGGGCATAAGAATCGGACAGTAAAAACCTCTGGACAGTCCCCAAATCCGGGGTTATCTTGATTGTGACAAGCTTGGTGTTGTCCAGAGCGAACTTTTGGTTTTCCTCCTGAGTGATCGAGTTCAGATTGGGTGCGGCGCATGTCGCGCAGACATGAAGCTCAGATGTGGTCCAGACATGCGCGATGGCGGTATTGCCGGTGACAGAGGTGTTTGCACTAAGCCTGCTGTCTCCATACGAGAACAAGGCAGGCATATAGGACTTGATCAGAACTATGGCGACCTTGGGGGAGACCGCCGCCGGAGTGCTGGTGTTGGCGACCTTGGGGGCGGCGATGGTGGCGGTGGCCCCCTCAGTCTTCCCCTCTCCGTTGTTCTGCTTCTGTGGCTCCTGTGGCGCCTGCAGCGAGTTGGGAGCACCAGCATGTTGCGGACGCTGGGGGCTGGGGCAGTATTCCAGTATGTTGATGTTGCCGGGAGGGATCGTTCTCTCGACTCGGGCAGGCTCGACTTTGCCGCGGAGCTCTTCAGCGATCTGCGAATACTTGCGGTTCTCTTCGTTGTTTGTTACAAAAAGATCCTCGAGATCGTGGATGAACTTCTCATTTGCCTCATATGAGCCCGCAGCGCCATCACCATTCCCAGTGCGGCACTTGATGCAGCAGAGATAGTCAGTCTTAAAGGTGGATCCGCTGCCAAACATGCAACTCTGCATGCCCTTGACGTCGGTGATATTCTTCTCCGAGTTCTCAAAGTTGTCCGAGCAGTATGCGCCGATCTCCAGCTCCGAAATGCAAGGATACTTGATCAACCCGTGAGGGTTTATCTGACCTTCGTAGTTCTGGTAGCATGCGCTGTTCCTGAGGCCTGCGAGATCCTCCCGGGTGTTGACCACATGGTCGTCTGGCAGCGGTCCCTCACGATCGGGGACGGGTTCCGCCGGCAGGGCCAGAACGCCCTGCATGGCAGTCGCGACCACAACGGCGGCGAACGACTTCATTGCTGGTGCTGGTGAGATTTGGTAAGGGTTAGATGGAAACAAAAGTATAGTTCAGGGTTGAGGAGAGGATGGATTGATGCTGAATCATAAAGAGCAAAAGAGCGAGTGATGGCTGGAATGCTAGTCGTCGCGAGAGCCAGGTGAGGACGGAAATTACAGGCCCCGACTATCTTTTATAAATCGACCCGACTACTATCGTGATTACCTATAAGGGATTTTCCGGTGATCTGCCGGATCTGGCGATTCGCCGGATTTTGGGCTCATTGCATTCCAGCAAAGAACTGAGAATAACTTCACGAATACTATTTGAATTGTTCTAAAATCTTATAAGAGCAGTTAATAATGCTCAAAGATGCCACTCAATCTTTTTGAAGTCATCCAGCCATCGAGGTCGTCTTCTGTTACTCTCCGATCGCGCAAGTCCCCGAAATGCACCCATTGCCTCCCGATCACTATCAACAGCTAAAGAGGGCCTTTGAGGACAGGATATGTCGTTTGAAGTTATCATTGCCTTATTATTTGCGTTATTATATAGTGTGTTTGGTACCTGCAATGCTATGGCCCGCTCTGGTGTGAACGGAAGAGTGACAATTTTGCAGCGTGAACATCCTGACTCCTCTCGCGACCCTCAGAAGCCACCCGTCGCTCATTCTGCATTTTCTGTGGCTTTTCCACTTTCAAAATCTTCAGCTCTTGTTAATAATGCCAATTTATCTCCTTATTTTGCTTCACGGCCTCCGTCATCCGTCGTTTTCTCCCAATTTCCGCCTCTCATTGCTTCCTCTTCTCTAGAGCGAGAGCTTTTGCTCCGCTGCCTTCTGCTGTCGCTGAAGCTTTCGGGCCTCCTTCTTCAGAGCCTCCTCTTTCTTTTGGAGTCCTTTCACTGTCATTTTTTGGCGAGCTTGAGCCACAATTTTAGAGCTAAACACCTCGTCTGCACTAGAATCTGTACAGCAGAAGAGATCATCTTTGAAGCCTTACCGGTCTGCCTGCGCTGGTTCTTGTGACTACTTGTTCTCTGCATACTTTAACTCTCATATCAAGCACTTAAAACTCATATTGAGGGCTCCCGAGGGTGCTGCTCAGCCTTCGGCTGTTGCGGCCAGCATCAACAGAGGACTTCTCGACTACTTCCTGAAATGCGTTCCAAAACACAGTCTAGATCTTCGATTTCAGCAATCCAATGAACCTTTTGATTTGTCTGTGTACTGGATAAGATCATGCGTATACGCTGTTGAGAGAGGCTGAATAACGATACATCAAGGGTTGCAGCCGATGAATGGATTGAGGGGGAAACACCACAACGATCACTCGGTGCCGGTCACACCACTCCATAAATTCGATACTAAAATGGTTAAGTGGCCATCGGGAACCAAAAGGCGATAAGCACAACCGTTTCGAGCTTTCACCCTGGTAAACCGGTCGAACGTACCGGTGAGCTGCTCATTTCCAATATTGTGATTCGTCCACCTCGTTTTTGACGTGTTAAAAATATTTATTGACGACTTGATTCACGTTTCACGAACCAAAAGTCCAGAGTTTGTGCTGGCTTGTCTTGGTGGATGAGAAATGGGGCAGCGATGCCATCTCTTGACTGACGCACATCTTGAACGTAAGGGAGGATGGGTTGCCATTTTTTAATACGCCGAGCAATTTTGCCTTGTTTTCTTATAATAAGAGGAATACCCTGTTCGTTCAAATGCTCATAAGGAATAGAAAGCCCATTTCATCCATGTTATACGTGTTTTAGGGTAGGGTGTCGAATTTCTCAATTTTCGTGCACGTCTTTCCTTGTCAGGTGTGAAAGCGGAGCCTCGCGCACTGAATTTCAAGCTAAAAATAAACCTTACATTCAGATGCATAGATAGGTTCTTTTCAGAAGATGCTTGTACCGTCGAATCACGTTCAATCTGGCTCATTACGGGTGCGTAGAATGAAGTTATCCAGCTCGCCCTTCCAACCCCATTTTTGCAGTATCCTGAGCCAAGTTCTGCACTATGGATAGAATGGGAGAATCCCACATGATTAAAGCCTACGATGAAAGCCAATAATGTTCTGTTTTTGCTGTATTGGCTGAAATGACTTACACAATCTGTCGGCATCCTATTTTGGCCGTTGCTTGGTTTGATGTCAGCACCGCAGCGCATTGCCCCTAGATAAAAGTTCTAAATATATGCCAGACTTTCACTGCTTCTGATGATTCAGGAAATCAAAGGATACGTCAATTGGCACCGTTGTTGTTGAGCTATTGTCGATTGATGTTGAGCGTGCGAAGTCGCCGCAATCCGGCAGATCACCAGATCCGGCAGATCATCGGAAAATCCCTTAGGACCCCAAGCCTCCCATGACCCATTTCGGTAGAAACTCATGAAATTCGGATAGCGGGTGCCCCGTTAATAAGTCGCAATTTGCCCTCTATGCTTTACTTCATTGGCCCTCTATGCTTTACTTCATTGGCCCTCTATGCTTTACTTCATTGGCCCTCTATGCTTTACTTCATTGGCCCTCTATGCTTTACTTCATTGGCCCTCCGTGTCGTTGTCGATAGCCAAGACTATCCGGATTTTATACTCGCTGTGATAGCATGATTCAGACATCGCAGCAAGTCATGCGCATGAACCGATGACTGCCACAACGCCTTCTCATCTGGTACACAGCCTCCTTGGCATTTTCGCGCCCAAGTATTCTAGGCGTCGAGGCCTAAGGTAGGTGATAATACGTACGGACTGATACGAATGCTTTACGGCGTGAAATGAGCCAAGACTTCTGGATTCTCACTCCCTGTCAGCCCATCAACGTGTTACATGATAGATTCATGCATCCATCCAAGACCAGAGCCAAACGACAAACAAGGCAACAAATGTGTCCTTGTCGTTGTCATCTCCAAGTGCTTTCTGAATTTGGACGTTGATGGCGTCAATGTACTCAGCATGATCAGAACCGAAACGGAAGTGGATGAATCGTAGAAACGTGTTTGTTGATGCGATAGGAAAAACGCCAATGCATGAAAAATGGTTCGCGTGAGCCAGCTAGCACGAGGCGCTCCACTATCGACAGGTGAATAGGAGATGGGTCCGAACTCTTGATGCCCGGTTTGCTTTCCAAGTAATCAAGGCTTCGCCAAAGCACTGGGCCACTGTCTCATTTGATACAATCGGCTTGATTCCGTCTGTTTCCGTGTCAATGCGGACGTATTTGAAGGCCCCTTTAGCCTCAAGCAAGGCAAGGTATGGGTGTGCCATCGACCAGCCCAGGGGCCGCCGCCTCATCCTACAGATTCCTCCGCCGTCTTCTGCGTCAACATGGTCTGTCGCATTGCCGCGCGCACGAGGGCCCTTCTACGTTCCACACGATTTCGGATTCCCGAAGCGTCGTTTGAATCCTGCAGGAGGCAAAGGCTAGGCGAATGTTGGAGGAAGCTGGTGACGAGATGGACAGTCACTTCTTCGGGCTTGCCGCGGCGAACATCATGCTCATCTTCGTCGACGTCCTCCGTATCCATCTCGAGCTTGGACGAGGAAGGCCTACTAGGAGACGAAGAGACCAGAATGGCGGTCGCGGAATTGATGTAGTTCTCTCGTTGCACTTGCACAGCGTGAAGACGTGGGCTTATCGGTGGTGCCCGCAATTGCGTCGTAATTCACTTAGGCCACGTGACCACTTATCGCCCGCAAAACGCCGCCCGTGAAATCGTGTGCAGGACGCCTGATAAGTGCATTTGATAAGTTCCCACCCAACTTATCGGGTTTCCGGCCAACACCAGCCCAGACATTCGCCCCGTAGGAACGTTGCCCGATCGACCGAGATGGCCGCGGACGACTCGTACACGGCAGCTGACGAGCGCGCCCGTGCCGCCCGGAGGGCGGGCATCCAGGCGAAGAAGGACGAACAGCCGGCGAACACGGCGCGGAGTTACGCGGCGAAGCAGCGGGAGTGGAAGGCGCGTCCCCCGGCCGGTCCTCCACTTCGATCCCTGTCACGTACGGCCCCAGGCGGCTAACAGACAAATACGTATAGGCCTGGTGCCATACGCCTCGGGCTGCAGCAGACGGCTCGCTCTATAGCTGGCCCGACGGCGAGCTCGTAACGCCGGACAAGCTGGCGGCGTGGCTCAAAGAGGATATCCTGTTACGACGCGTTGTGCCGCCGCAGAAGAAAGCGCGCGCGGGGTAAGGTTAGGGGCGACGGCAACGGCGAGGCCGTACAGGTACGGCAACAGCGCGAACAGGAGCAGCTCGAGGCCGCGGCCATGGCAGAGGCCGAAAGCCTGGCCGAAGCTTTGGAGGTCCCCCTGGCCGAGGCCGCTGAGCTGCTCGCTGACGACCGCGAGGGTTACGTGCCACCCACAGGCCTCGCGACGGCTGCAGTAGACCTTACCGAAGGGTCTTTGCTTACGAGGGGCACTATCGACGCCTATATCGCGGCCGTTATCGAGCTATGGAGGCTCCAGGTGGCTCACGGCAACTCGAATACGGAGAATCCCCGGGGCGCCGCCGTACGAGGATTCCTTGAGCAACGGGGCCGGCAGCGGGGGAAGCACGACCGAGCCTCCTTTAAAGACCGCGGGAGCGACGGGATCCAGGCCGGCTACCTCCCCGATGAATGGCTTCGGATCCAGGATCTCCTTCTCACTGGCGCCGCGTATACGCCGCAAAACCTCCGTACGCGAGTCGACCTCCTCTTCGGCCACTACTACCTCTTACGGGGGGAGAACCGCCGCAAGATGGAGCTTGCAGACCTGTCCCTACTCGACTATCCGCCTTCGGAAGGGCCGACCCCCTGTGGTTGCCTGGTAAGCCTTTTACGGGACGGCAAGCTAAATAAGACGGCGAGGAAGGAGTTTATGGGCGCGCTCCGGCACAAGGACCCCTTATTCTGTACGCAAGGGCCCTAGCACAGCTCTTCTTTGGCGCTGGCACGTCGCCGGCGAACCGCCCCGTCCTTCCGGCGCCGTCAGGACTGGTATCGGATCAAGGTCCTCGTCGGGCGGGACCGCGAGC